TGGATCACCTTGCGAAAAATACACGCACGACATTCTAGGCCTCCCAGATGGGGGAGGAAATGGGGTCGGAGGTTCGCGCCGTATCGCAGATGCATTGACGATGCGGCTCGATGTGGAGACCGTGTTTCCCCACGCCGACGTCGCCGATGTATCGGCGGTGCGGCGCGCTCCTCTGACACCAGCTTCTCCGACCCCATCCAGGAGGCCGCCAGACATGGAAACCTGCACGGGGAACGGACGTCCGAGCGATGGCGAGAGTCGCGAATTCGGACACGGCTCCAGCCGCGGAGCCGACAACCTTGCCACACCATACATGTCAATTGCATCCCAGAGCACGGCCGTGCATCAACCCTGGTTCGGATCGCTGGGGATCCAGTGGCATGTGTGCACATGCGTTGCACCGTTGGTGGTGCCAAAACCCTTTGTGTGAAATTCCTTTGTGTGTTTTTTCTCGCTCCTAACGTCGGCAGCCCGGGCGGCCCGTGCCACGCCTCGTCTGCGGCAGGGCGGCGCAGAGCGCGCCCTTGGCACCGCAAGCGCGTGTCGGGCCGCGCCTCCTCGAGCAGAGCGGCGCGTGCCTTCGGGAGGCAGGGCGGGAACGGCGCGACGTGCGCCGGCTGCCGTCCGGGCGGGGGGAGCAGGGGATTGAGCGAGAGCAGCGATTCGAAGAGGAAGAAGCGCCACAAACATAAACTGTTGGCGCTCCGCGAGGATTTCTTGGATCCGCGCTGGGAACCCCCTGACTGTGCCTCCGGCGCCGACCCTGGCGCGCTCCGCGCGCCAAGGAAGGGCCGGGCGCGGATCCAAGAAATCCGCGCGGAGCGCCAAAAGTTTATGTTTATGGCGTTTGTTTCTTTTTCTAGTAACGGGACGAAGTTGGAGCGGGATCAGTCAGACATGAGGTGTATTGTTTGTGTCGAGTTGTGACGAGGCGCTCCAGCTTGCCTCTAGGCCCACCAAAGAATGTTCTCAGACATGGTTGCGGTTTGCACGAAATGTTGTTCGAACATTTCCAGTTGAGACCGTCTTGTTCTGATACGTCGGTATGATGTTCCGAGAATGTTGTTTTTGTTTTCAAAGCATGATTTGGTTCTCAAAGCAGTTCGTGGTAGGCCTATAGGAAAGCCTGGAGGGTCGGTCCGTGCTTAGTTTGTGGGGCTCGATTTCAGAGATTCTCGATTTCTCCTCACCCGACCTGGGGAAAAAACACACAGACACAGTCAATCGTCGATTCCCCAGAAAATATGGGAAAATATGGGAAGTGAGGAGGAAGACGAAAGACCAGAAAATATTGGAAAGTATGGGGAATCCTGTTATTTGTGTGTATTTATTTGTGTATCCCAGGGCCCCTGCATTATCCTCGTCCTGGCTTCGTCTTGGTTGGCTCACGGGACCACCGCTCTAACCTCTGAGCTGCAGTGGAGACCCATGCCAAGAAGCACCCTGCTTGCCTCCAGGGTGCCCTGGGTCTCTTGGGTTTCGAGGGTTCTGCGATGGGCAGTGTGCCGTAACCACACCAGAAGTCCATGGACGGCCTGGGGTCTCAGGGTTGGGCTTCTTGTGGTCGGGCCCCTGCTGTGAGGGAACGCCTGTGGCGGGAGCATCTGCAGGAGCCCCCCCCCGCCTCTGGTCTGGCTTGGGGGCAGTCTCGGGCGGCCTCGCCCACCCGCCCGGTTAGCCTCTCCGACCGATGAAGGGGCCCACAAACACACAAATAAATACACACAAATAAAATGATTCCATATTTTCCTGTATTTTCTAAGTTTTTGTCTTTCCCCCCACTTCCCATATTTTCCCATGTTTTTTGGGGGAATCGACAATTAATTGTGTCTGTGCGTTTTCCCCCCTCCTGAACCGAGCAGGGCCCCGAGCCAGCCAAAGTTCACCCAGAGGGCCCGACCGAGGGTGCGACCTCTGAGATCCAGCGGTTCTGCCAGAGGAGGAGCACAGTCAGCCCGCATAGCAAGGATGGGCAGCCTTCCCCAGGGTACCCTGGCATCCGTGCCCCTTCGGCCCGTCCTCAGCGACTTTCGCTGGCCAACCTCGTCCGAAGAACGCTAACATGGCCACCCAAGGCCCTTGCATGCTTATTGCGCATCCTTAAGTTGCGGGTCGACTGAAGTTACGGTAGGTTCATGCGGCGTTGGCTCGCCGACGACACCAGCGAAGCCGTTCCAGTTTGAGTTTTGCGACGCAGAAGCACCGAGGGACGCGGCAACGTCACAGGGACCGACAATATTAAATGTTGAATGATCGCGACCGCGATCGATTCAAGGATGAACGATTGACGCGGTGTCAAAAACCTATGCGCGCGCCGACGCCGCACGAACCTATCGTACCCATACCGCTACCCTTCGCCCGTTTTCCCTTTGGGGGACTTCCTGGGAGGCCCTCGTCGCCACCGCTGGATTCGCCCCAAAATTCTGGTCAGAACGCACCGTGGGAGAGGTCCGAGAAGTATAGCTGTAGCATCTGGCGCCACGGCCTTGTCCGAGCGCTCAGGCACGCTCCGAGGGCGCTCCGGGACGATCCAGAGCGAGTTGCTCCGGCCTCGGGCCCCAGTTAGGGAATTGGGAGGGCCGGGTTTGGGGGCTCGTGTCAAGGGGGGACTTACGCTACCGGGGAACCCCATATACTTCTATTTTTGGCTGGAGTGATGATAGCTGAAGTGAAGCATGTGAGAATGATGTTGGTGGCCGTTGCCCCGCGCCACTCAAGAGGAGAGGTGGAAGAGGGGTGGAAGAGGAGAAGCGCCGCGCCAGCCACCCTTTGCGAGCCCGGTGACCTGGCGAGGGAGAAAAACCACCCAGACCCGATAGTTGGCGGTTTACAAGTCGGCTGTGGGCGTTAACTGAACAGTTTTGCCCGTTCGATTCTTGCTTTGGGTGTGCTTGCTAAACGACTTCGCGGGTCGGAGTGATTATTATGAGGGTGGATGCTCTGTTCTCCACTGGGAGGTCTGGCGGAGCTGCAGCGCAAGATGGACCAGAAATTGGACATGAGCCTCAGGCACATGGACGAGTTCATCACGCGCCACGAGGAGGGGCAGGGAGAGCGCGGCGGCCACCGGGGAGCGCGGCCGCCCAGCTTCTAGGAGGGGGGAGTAGATGGACGGAGGAAGGCGGGGGGGAAGGAGGGAGACAGGAGGAGGGGAAGGAGGGACGAGGGAGGGGAGGAAGAGAGGATGAAGTGGAGCAGGCAGAGGAGAAGGAGGAGGAGGAGGTGGAGGAGGCATGGATCTTCAGACTCAAGGGGCAAGCGGGGATCAGCGTTCCGAAATTTCTGGCAAGTTGGCACGAACATGTTTAAGCAGTCCTTTGCTTGCGCTCAGTTCTTGGAGCGGGGCCTGTGCGCAGCGATGAAGGCGCCCGATCCAGCAGAACAGATGAGGCGCGCACACGGAACAAGTTCGTCATGGCATGCACATGTGCACAGTTGTGCCGTGCATTCGGTATTCCGGTGTTGTTCTAGCCACTTTGCCGCGCCACACAAACGAATCGGGCAGACGGTTCGTTCAAACGCGCATTCAGGAGTGCGTGTCTCTGTGATACCATGCACTTGCCATACTCGTGCATCATGTTTCTCTGAACGAATTCGCGTTCACAGGCTTGCAAAATAAGGTTGGCCGGGTGTTGTCGGCAGTTTGTTGGTTTTGGCCAACGGGTTGGAGACCGCAATTGTCCGAATCACCATCTTTGCAAAATCCGTTGAATATTTGGTACGGGCAGCAGTGTCGAAGTCAACGTAGTTGCACGCACACCGTAAAAGCCAACACACGCTGTCTTTTTGTCTGGGCAGCGCCAGATTGCAACGACCGTATAGTGGAGACCCATGACAAGAAACACCCTGGTTGCCTCCAGGGTGCCCAGGGTTTCTTGGGTATCCACGGTTTTGCAAAGGAAAGCGTGACGTGCCCACACCAAATTACCTTCTGACGTACCCAACCCTTTCTGTACATGTGGCGATTCTACTCTGGACCACTCAATGTGACGTACCTCCGCTGGGCCTCCCAGGAGCCCACGAAAGTGACTACAGTTGCGCAGATCGCAAGCCCCCCAGGGGGCGGCGAGGTCCCGAGGTGTTCCGCGTGGGACCCACCTCCGCTGGGCCTCCCAAGAGCCCACGAAAGTGGCGACAGTTGCGCAGATCGCAAGCCCACCCAGGGGGCGGCGAGGTCCCGAGGTGGTCCGCGTAGGACCCACCTCCGCTGGGCCTCCCAGGAGCTCCACGAAAGTGGCGACAGTTGCGCAGATCGCAATCCCCCCAGGGAGCGGCAAGGTCCCGATGTGGTCCGCGTGGGACCCACCTCCGCTGGGCCTCCCAGGAGCCCACGAAAGTGGCGACAGTTGCGCAGATCGCAATCCCCCCAGGGGGCGGCGAGGTCCCGAGGTGGTCCGCGTGGGACCCACCTCCGCTGGGCCTCCCAGGAGCCCACGAAAGTGGCGACAGTTGCGCAGATCGCAATCCCCCCAGGGGGCGGCGAGGTCCCGAGGCGGTCCGCGTGGGACCCACCTCCGCTGGGCCTCCCAGGAGCCCACGAAAGTGGCGACAGTTGCGCAGATCGCAAGCCCACCAGGGGGCGGCGAGGTCCCGAGGTGGTCCGCGTGAGACCCACCTTCACTGGGCCTCCCAGGAGCTCCACGAAAGTGGCGACAGTTGCGCAGATCGCAATCCCCCCAGGGAGCGGCAAGGTCCCGAGGTGGTCCGCGTGGGACCCACCTCCGCTGGGCCTCCCAGGAGCCCACGAAAGTGGCGACAGTTGCGCAGATCGCAATCCCCCCAGGGGGCGGCGAGGTCCCGAGGTGGTCCGCGTGGGACCCACCTCCGCTGGGCCTCTCAGGAGCCCACGAAAGTGGCGACAGTTGCGCAGATCGCAAGCCCACCAGGGGGCGGCGAGGTCCCGAGGTGGTCCGCGTGAGACCCACCTTCACTGGGCCTCCCAGGAGCCCACGAAAGTGGCGACAGTTGCGCAGATCGCAGACGGCACGAGAGAAGAGGAGAAGGGAAAACAGGAAATTGGAGAGAAGGAGGAGAGGAGGAGGAGGAGGAGGATAAGGAGGAGGAGGTGGAGACCACACTGCTCTATTCAAAACGAATACCCAACACAGGAGGTTCAGGAAAATCAATGGACGTCCTTGGGTCTCAGGGTTGGGTTTCTTGTGGAAGGTTGCTTGTGGTCGAGCCCCTACTGTACACGCTGTCTGTTTGTCTGGGCAGTGCCAGATTGCAAAGACCGTACGGCCAGTTCAGCAAACCTTGCGAAGAGAATTATTGGTTTCCAGCGGCTCGGCGGTGGCTCGCCGCTTGGTGAGCCCCTCTTAGGGGTCGTCTTGGGGACTCCTTGGAGGCCTATGGGGCAACGTCGGGCCGGTTTGGGAGCCCCTTGGGTCTGCCTTGGGCGCTCTTGCGACCAAAGCGGCGAGGATGCAAAAGTCACACCAAGTCCCACGGGGCTCTGCAGATTTGGGCCTCTCCAGCTGGCCCCGGGGGCCTCCAGAAAGGCCCGGGGGACCCCCAACAGCGCCGAGTCCGAGGCTGATCTTTGAGGGAGCTCTGGCGAGCGTGGGCGGCCCCGGCATGGCCAGAGTGGCCCCAGAATCGCCCGGGTTGGGAGGGAGACGGGGGGGGCCGCCATTCCCCAAAACAGTGTTTGTACTGAGGGTTTCTTGATTCTATGCTAAGGAACTGGGCTGACTCGTCGCCGTCGTCAGTCCGTCGCCGCCGTGTCGCCGCCCGTCGTCGCCGCCACACGTGTTGCTCCCTATTTATAATATAAAAAAACAAAAAACTCCCCGGGTGATCCCCCGATTCGTATTGCAATTTACGTGCGATTCAGCCCCATCGTCCATCCGAAATATGAACTCACACTGTCCCAGCTGAACCGAGATCCACCCCCTTCATTATCTGCAAACAGTACTATGCGCGCACACCCGTTGATCACAAACCATAAGTTGCCGAAAATACCTTTCAACAAATTGGACGAAGTTCGCACGCACGCGCCGTCGCGCGCAATGTTTCGAAAACCTCGGTTGTCGCAAGGATTTCAAAATCCAGTGTTCATCAAACATGCAAAAAGCACATGGGTTTCTAACAAGGGTGTTCAAAAAATGTTTGCGCTCGTGCTCTTGTGAATCTTAAAGAGAACCACTGGTTTTCAACATGTTGATAGAATGGTACCCATACGGCTTCGCGCACGCGCATGTCGAAATCGTTCGGACGTCCTTGCGCGCGTGCTGTAGCAATAATCTTGTCGGAAAAAACGGGACGAAGGGCGCACGCGCGCGTCGTCGCGCGCGCATGCCACAATCCTTCAAAAAACGTAGGGGCCATAAGGATGTCGAAACCAACAGTCCCGAAACCATAATACCAAAAAAACATACGGTTTCGCAACAACAGTGTTCGAAAAATTTGCGCTCGGGCTCATGCGAATCTTCAAGAAAACCGTTTTGTTTTTTTGTTTTTCCACATATTCATAGATTTCTCCCAAACGAGCCTTTCGCGCCGCGTGCCGGAATCATTCGAATGTTTTTGCGCTCGTGCTGGGCGGGGGCACGATCCGTGTCAAATGGTTCCATGCGGGCCACTCGCGCGTCGGCCGCGCGCGCATGTCGAATTCGTTCCAAACCTTGCATCGCTGACGCGAGGACGCCGTCATCGTCGCCGGCGTGTTCGACATCGGCGCCGTCATTGGCCGTGCCGTCGCCGTTCAGCATCTCCACTAGCATCGCTACTGTCATCATCGTGTCTACCGCTGTCGACGTCGCCATGATACCGCGCCCACCCAAGTCGCCGAGTCGCACGGGAGTGCTCGCTGGGACGTGCCCAGTGGTCAGCGCCACCGCGACCGCGTCGGTCGCGCTGTTGCGCGCGCACACCTGCATGCCTGGGCTGGCGCGGCCGCAGAGATGCACCAGCCAACACCGAGCATTCATCGCAGTCGCTTCCGCATGGGTTTTGCGAACCAAGTTGCGGGTGGGTGAATGGGATGACTGCACGAGCAGTGGAATTTGACAATTTCAAGTTGAGCATCGGTGAATGCACGACGTAGAATACAACACATAGATTGCACAACACAGATTGCACAACATCTTGGATACAACATGCAGTATACATATGTTTTCTTCCCGGAAAAAAGAATGTTGTACCTACCGCCCCAACCCCGGGTCTTATCGACCATCCACGGGATAGTGGGATTTACGCACGATTCGACCTTACCGTTCATCTTGAATCGGAATTCGGATCATCCCTACCAAGTTGGTATCGCTCCCCCCTCATCGTCGTCAAACAATGCCACGTGCGCGCCCGTTTCCCAAACATCAGCAGTTGCCAACAATTTGCGGCTGTGAAAGATTCCGAGCCCCACGGGCGTGCCGCCACGCCCGCATGCCAAAATCTTTCAAAAGTAGTTGGCGCAGTTTGGTTTTTCGAAGCTGATTTAAAACATATAGTTTGCCACACGATGTTTCAAATCAATATATGCCCGCTTTTGCGACCTCGTGCGCACATGCTACATTTCAACATGTTCACCGCACGCGGTCAAGCCAGCATACCGGGCGCATATATCAAATTATTTCGGACATGTCATCATCGTCATGTCAATGTCATCATGCCGTTGCCGTTGTTAATGTCATCATCATATGTAAATTACTTTGCCGTTGTCAACGTCATCATCGTCACCCGCGTCGCTACTATCATCATTGTGACTGCCGTTGTCGACGTAGCCATTATACTGCGCCCGCCCGAGCCACCGACTCGCACTGAACTGCCCGCGCGTCAGCGCGGCGTGCGAGACGCGTTGGGGAGCCCCTAGCGGTCAGCACCTCCGCGGCCGCGCCAGCTAGCTGGCCGCTCTGCGTGCGAGCCTGCGCGCGCTAGCATGGCCGCAGCAGTCAGCCAGCCAACGCCAAGCAGTCAGCTCAATCGCCGCCGCATGGACTTCGCAAACCACATTGCGGGTGGGTGGGTGGGATGATGTCGCGAGCAGCGGAGCTGACAATTTCAAGTTCGGCTGGTTAGTTAAGTTCTCCTTTTCTACAAGTGTAGTAGAATCGCAGTTTATTTCTCCATATTGCAACTACGGTTTTGCCCCATCGCCCATCATAAGTACGAGTTCGCACCATCCCAGTCAAGCTGGTATCCGCCCCCCCCCACCCCCCCTCTCATCCTCGGCGGCAAAATTGTGCGCGCACACAGGCTTATAAAAAGTCGCCCGTGTTCAAGCATACCTTGAAAAAAGGGGACGAAGTGCATTCGCGCGCGTCGTCGCGCGCGCAGTCCAAAATCTTTCAAAACATTACGATTGGCAAGGAATTCAAAATCGACTGTCCAAAAGACAGATTACCAATACATGGTTTCGCAACAAAGATGTTCAAAATACCGCCTGCGCGCGCGCTCTTGCAGATGCTTCACAACAAATCGTTGTTCTTCAACATGTTCATATAATGCTACCAAATGGGCCTCCCGCGCGCGCATGCCGGAATCGTTCGAACGCCGTTTGCGCGCGTGTTTTCGCAAACATTGTTTTTAAAACAACACGACGAAATGCACATGCGCGCGTCGTCGCGCGCACATCATTCCGAAATCATGTTCTCACGAAAACCACCGGTTTGTCATCAAATTTGGCTAAACGGGTTTCTCGCGCCACATGTCGAATTTATCCGAACGCTTTTGCGCGCGTGTTGGGGGGGCACGGTCCGTGTCAAATAATGCCACGCAGGCCGCTCGCGCGCGTCGGCCGCGCGCGCATGTCGAATTCGTTCCAAAATTGTCGTAACCGACGCGAAGACATCGTCATCATTGTGGGCGGGCGTGATCAATATCGGCGCCGTCATTGGCCTCGCCGTCGTCATCGCCACCATCGTCACCACCATTGCAACTCTCATCATTGCAAATACCCACATTGGCGAAACCATGATATGTCTATAAAGATAGACCCAAACAAAAATAGCGCCAAGAGTGGGGCAAAGTTCAATTCCAGCAGGTAGGCGAGCTCGAGAGCCGGTGCTCCAGTCAGACCCCCCCGCCGCAGAGGGATCATGGGAAAAGGCGATCGCACGGAGGTGGGGGGAAGGTTCAGCTCCAGCAGATGGGTGACATCGGGAGCCGGTGCTCGGGCTTGCAGCGGTGCGTCGACGACTTGCGGGAGGACGCCTGGCCGGGCTTGCGGCGAGCTGCCGAATATGTCTGCCGTTATGGGGGGGCGCGTCGCCGTGGCCGGGCCGGAAGCCGCGATGCAAGCCTCTCCCGCGGCGCGCACTCAGAGAGGGAAGATGTACCGATACCCCATACCCATCCAGGGCCACCACGAGGGTGCGAATTTAGTCGCGCTTCGCGGTCTGGGCGATGTCAGATCGAGGCGCGAGTCCCTCATCCTGTTCTGTGGGTGGGGGGGAGGGTGCGAACTTAGTCGCGCTTCGCGGTCTGGGCGATGTCAGATCGAGGCGCGAGTCCCTCATCCTGTTCTGGTGGGGGGTAGCGGCGCGAAAGCGCGAAGATAATCGCGCTTTGCGCTTCACGACGCGCGAAGCGCGCAGGTAGTTGCCCCAGACCCATCAGGAAGATGGGCACGATGCATCGCCGCTCCCCCGCCGCATCGCCGATACATCGGCGATGCGGCTCGATGTGGAGCCCGGCTTCTCCGCGCCGACGTCGTCGGTGCACCGCCGATGCATCGCCGATGCGTCGGCGATAAATCGGCGATGCGCGTCACGGCTGGCTTCGCCTCGAACTCTTGGTCAGAACGCACCTTGGGAGAGGTCTGGGGAGTAGCGGTACTGGTTTCTCCTCCCCTCCCTCCCCTCCCTCCCTCTCCCTCCCTCTTCCCTCGTCCTTCGTGGCTCCATCCATCCAGCCGTCCCTCCCCTCCCGTGTTTCGCCCTGCCGCCGTCCTCCTCCTCCCCCCCTTGGCCCCCGCCAGGAGATCGGCACGGTGAGGGGCAACCTGGACGTGCTGAGGACGTGCAAGGTGCTGACCCACCTGCGCGCCATCCCGGACCTCTGAGCGAGGCGCAGCCCGCGCTGCGCCCCTTGGGAACCCCCAAACCGGGTGGTGAGATACCAGGTGGCGACCTGGAATCCCCCAAAAGGTCACCGCTGGGTTTGGGGACACGGGGTCACCACCGGGTCTTGTGACTCCTGGACCCACCAGTGTCCGGGACACCCTCGGAAAACCGCACGAGTCCCCAAACCGGGTGGTGACACCAAATCGCCCGAGACTCACCGCCAGGTGTTGTCACCGCCACGTTTGGGGACTGCCAGGCCCCTGGCCCGGGGGGGGAGGCGCGCCCGCGAGGCCCGAGCCGCGTGCCGGCAGAGGGCCCGCAGCAGGCGGGGCGCGGGCAGCCTGCCGGGCCCGCGGGGAGAGGGCGGGCCCCCTCCTCCTCCTCCTCCTCCTCCTCCTCCTCCTCCTCCTCCTCCTCCTCCTCCTCCTCCTCCTCCTCCTCCTCCTTCCTCGTTCCTCCTCGTTCCTCCTCCTCCTTCCTCCTCCTCCTCCTCCTCCTCCTCCTCCTCCTCCTCCTCCTCCTCCTCCTCCCCCTCCCCCTCCCCCTCCTCCTCTTCGGGCGCGCTGGGGATCCTATTGGGGCCCTAGGGGCGCGGCGGCAGATCGTCGGGGCCTGGTATGCTACGTGGCGTGAAAACGACCACAGCCACTGCTTTTGTTTTGATGCCGCCTTCCAGCCCGCGGCAACAGAGCAGTGGTTGTGGTCATGTTCGTCGAGCTTGGCACCAGGGGAATGACCACAACCACTGCTTCTTTTCCGGCCGGCTGGAAGGCGGCGCAGACAAGAAGGAGTGGTTGTGGTCAGTTTCCCGTCCCGCATATGCCCTCTTGAGTTTTGTCTTTCGCGTCGACTGGCGTCGATTAGCGTCTGGGAGTGGATGAGACAGCACCGATGTAGTGTCGGCCAGCGTCTGAAGCGTCGATTCAGCGCCGACTTAGCGTCGACGAGCGTCGATTCGCAAGAGCCGACAAGATGGTATGGGAGGCTCCTATGAGTTGCCACTGAAAGATACCACTGCGCTGGACGATTCCATGAGCTGGCAACCAGCACCCACATCAATACGTCGAGGTTTCCCTCGTAAGGATTTTCGGAGGATCGCCCCGCGTCGCTCATGCATCGCCGATGCGGCTCGATGTGGAGCCCTATTTCCTCCACGCCGGCGTCGCCGATGCACCGCCGATGCGTCCCGATGCATCGGCGATTCGTCACGATCATCCGACCCCATCTACTCGGACCCCATTTGCAAGGTCTCTAATTGGGCTGGACGATTTCATGAACTGACAACCAGCGCCCATACGAATGCGACCCCCAGATTTCCCCGGGTGGTTGTGCGTGTGTTGTGCGTGTGTTGTCCGATGGGGGTCCCCGCTCGAACGGGAGCCCCCCTCGGGGACCAACAGTTCGCACCCATACCCACAGCGCCTGGCCTTCCCCATTCCTCCGCCCCTTATTGTGCGCTGCTCTTTCACTATGATCCCCTGTCGCATCTGTCCATCCTTCCAGGGAGTGGGAGAGGGTTGTGAGCAGGAAACATATCCATATCCGCGGCCTCGCGGGCCAGGCCCCTGGGCCGCGACTCCGCGGATACGGGGGGGGTTTTCGCGGATGCCCCGCGCGGACCGTTCCGGTGCGACCGCGTATCCGCGGGATCGCGCCCCAGAATCCAGACCGCGAGGGCGCGGATACGGACATGATCGCCGCTCGTGACTTTAGGCCATACTCCTTGGCCATCCTATGCCTACACGTAGGCCTTATCCCAAGGACTGCTCTAGGCCTGCCCCTAGGTCTTACCACCAGGCCTACCGTTGGCCTACCCTTACGCCACAGCCCTAGATTTGTTCCCAACGCCGACCTCTACAGTTCTACAGTGGAGACCCATCCAAGAAACACCTTGCTCGCCTCCAGGGTGCCCTGGGTTTCTTGGGGTTCGATGGTTTTGCGATGGAAGGCGCGACATTCCCGCACCAAAAAATCCATGGCGTCATGGCGTCTCAGGGTTTGGTTTCTTGTGGAAGTTTCTTGTGGTCAGGCCCCCACTGTAGATCGGCGGAGAGCGTAGGGGGAACTGAGAAGGGGCGGGTCTTCTCAGAAGGCTCGGAAGTCCCCCGGCCTTCTGAGAAGTGTTCCAAGCCTTCTCTGAAGACAGAGAAAACCTTTCAGAAGGCGCGAGGGTTACTGAGAAGTCCCGCCACCTGCTGAGAAGGCGTCCTTCTCACTCCCCCGCCCTCGCTCGCCGCCGATTAGAATCTACCCGCCAATCGGTGACCACATGTGAACCCTACCCCCACCCCCACGATTTCTGAGGGGGGGGGTCACTTTGCTCGGTAGCTCCCGAGCGAAGTGAGCCCCCACCCTTAGAAACCGTGGGAGGCGGGGTAGGGTTCGCATGTGGTCGCCTACCCGAGGCCTGGGAGCGGCGGCCTGGGAGCGGGGGCCGCGCTGCGGGGGGAGGGGTGCGCGAGGGCGGGGGGGCCAGGCGCGGCTTCCCGCCCCCGGCTGGGGCGAGGGGCGCGCCGGCGAAGGGCGCGCAGTGTTTTCCCCGCCGCCCTCCTGTGGAGGAGGAGGCGGCGCGCTGCGCCCGCGAGAGAAGCTGTCGCGGAAGGACTTCACAGAAGCGGAGGTGGAAGAAGAAGGGGAGGGGGAGGACGAGGACGAGGACGAGGACGAGGACGAGGATGAGGAGGCGGAGGAGGAGGAGGAGGAGGGGGAGGGGGAGGGGGGAGGAGGAGGAGGAGGCGGAGGAGGAGAAGGAGGACGAGGAGGACGAGGAGACGAGGAGGACGAGGAGGAGGACGAGGAGAAGGACGAGGAGGAGGAGGACGGGGAGGAGGAGGAGGAGGAGGAGGAAAAGGAGGAGGAGGCGGCGCGCTGCGCCCGCGAGAGAAGTTGTCGCGGAAGGTTGGCGGCGCGCACAAGGGGGCAGCGGGAGGGGGGGGGGAAGGCTTCTCAGAAGGAGGCCGCTTCTCAGAAGGCGCCCGCCCTGCATTTGCAGACCAGGCCCGCGCCTTCGAAGGAGCAGGGGTGCTTCCGAGAAGCCTTCCCCCCTCCCCCCTACACCCCCCTCTGCGCGTGGATGAGAAGGACTTCGCAGAAGCCAGCTGGGCTTCTCATTGGCCTTTGCCTTCCGAGAGGTGTGCTGCATCTTCGGGGAGAGGAGGCGGCGCGCCGCGTCCGCAAGAGAAGCTGTCGTGGGAGGACTTCGCAGAAGCCGGCGGGGCTTCTCAGAACCCTGAGATCTTGGCGTGGCATTTTCTTCACAAGGGGCGTTTTCGTTCATTTTCGGGCCCCGAGACCCTTACAGATCGATCGATCCGACTCGAAAATTGACGCAGAAACATCGGGTGGGCCGTCGTTTTCTGACGAACGCGTCCTGGAGTCTGACTGTCTGGTTTTCGTGGGATGCTTGCAGCGGGAGCTCGCGTCAAATTTCACATTCGGTCTCGCCATGTGTTCGACGGTCCCGTCAGGTCAACCCGAGTCCCCGTACCCGAGTCTCACGCCTCCCTGACAAAAGGCCCCTGCCTTCCCAGAGGTGTCTTGCGCATCTTCGGGGAAGGCTTCGGAAATTTCTCAGGAGGCCAGGGGGGAGTCCCGAGCCTTCTGAGAAGGCCCGCCCCTTTCTCACTTCCCCCCATGCTCGCCGCCTCAGCGGAGGAGACGGCGAGCTGCGCCCGCGAGGGACATTGTCATGGACGCCGAGTCTGTTTTTGCCAGCCATCCTGTGGTGTTGGGTCTTCGTTTTGAACAGACAGCGCTCCTCGTTCCTCACTCCTCGCCCGCCTCCCTCCTCCCATCTCTGCCACTGCCCTCCGCATGCCGGTCGGCACACCCCCTCACACGCTTCGTGGCCCCATTGGGAGCTCCACCGAGGGCCTCCGTGGTGAGTTCGCATGCGTCCGCCCGACCCATTTCGGCACACCCGTCCGCCTCACACCATTTCGTGGACGCCGAGTTGTTTTTTTGCTTTTGGGGGGTCAGAGTGCACGCGAGGCGTTCTAGAAAGGTCCTCGTCTTCGGGGGCCGAAGGAGTTGGCATCTCCTCCTCGGCGGAGGGCGGCGGAGGCAGAGCGAGGACTGCCTCCCCCGGCGGAGGGCTGGCAGGCTGGCGGAGGTAAAGGTGCCGCCCCCTACTTGGCATCGCTCGGACGTGTGCGTTTTTCCTTCGGCGAGGGCCATCGAGGAGCATCCTTGATCACTTGGCGAAAAAAACCACGCACGAAACCGAAAAAAAAACAGGGAATGGACGTCCGAGCGATGGCGAGCCTAGGGATGGCAGCATTGCTGGATCCAGGGCTTCTGGAGCCGTCTGCGTGTCGGGGCGAACGACGTGGGGACGGGAAAGTGGGAGTTTCGAAATCTATCGCGTGCAGTTGGTATTGGCCGCGCCGCCGGGGCGCTTTCCTCGACGCGCTGGGAGGCACCGAATGAAGCAGCTGATTCGCGGAAATCGTTGTCGTGTATGTTTTCTCGTCTGCCTCGGACATGGCGACCATATCCGCTACATTGCAAAGGAGTATTTGGAGCAGTGGGGCAAACTCATTTCTTCATACATATAGATACTGTTTATGTACAAGTGGCACGTGCGTTCCAAGGCTCATATCAGAAAACATGTTCCCATTCCCTTTCTTGGGAGTTGTGTGCGTGTGGGTGTGTTGCGTATATGTTACGTGAGTTGTGTGTGTGTGTGTGTTTGTGTTTGTGTGTGTCGCGTGCGCGTGTTGTGTGCTGTGGGTGTGCGCTTCGTGTGAATGATGTGCGGGTTGTGTTTGTGTGTGTTGTGTGTGGGTGTATGTTCTGTGTGTGGTATGTTTTGTGTAGGTGGGTTTGCGTGTGGTTTGTGCGTGAGTGTGTGTATGTGTTGTGTGCGTGTTTCTTAGGTGTTGTGTGTGTTATGTTTGTGTCGCGTGCCGTGTGTTGGGTGATGTGTGCCTGTGTCCATGTGTCTGTGTGCGCATGAGCGCATGTGTTCTGAATTCCCAGGAAGGTCCAGGAGACACCC